CACGGCAATATATCTTTTACTGTAATACTTTTTTATTTTTTGTAAGATAACAGGTTTATTAATTTTTTGATATTTTTTTGTAATACATTTTAAAACATTCACTCTGTTTTTTCACTCACACTTCATGCATGTAGTTAATGCAAAGTAGAATGTTAAAGCCAAAGAGCAGAAAAATTTTACAAAGATGTACTGCTTAAAGAAAACAGGACCAGAGACAAATAAAAATAGTTGACTAAAATATAGACTCAAAAACTTAAAAAGAAAAGGGTCATTAATCACTTGTATCTAGGGCCGGGGATATAGCTCAGCAGCATAAGCACCTGCCTGGCAAGTGCAAGGTCCTGAATTGAATTCCTGATTTAAAAAAAAAATCACTTGTATTTGAATAGACTCAACACTACTATAGGTTTAAGTGGACAAAATTAATGCAAAAACTAAAACCAACGTCTTGCTGTCCACATTTAAAACTTAAGAATACAATATAAGTCATGCACCAAATATCTAATAGTTGTTTGCAACACAGAAATTTAGGGCAGAGTGAATCTGTCTGCTCCAGCATTAGCCCCTATAGCCACCCATTTTGCCAAGCACAGCCTACCTCTTCTGCCAGCTCTCAATACCAAGAGAAGTCTTTTGCCCAAAAATGAAGAAAAGAAAAACCGATCTCCTACTTCCCAGGTCTAAGCACGCCGTGAGACGCACAGCCTCCACCACACCGTCACCACCGCAGTGGTCACCACATGCTGGAAACAGTGACTGATAAGGGCCAGAGGAGAGGCCACGGCTGGGAGGAAGGACGCTGCCACTGGGGCACTGCAGGATTCAGTGGAGACAAAGGGAAGGAATGACAGAAGGAAATTCTTCCTGCTCGAGCCAGCTTGCTCCAGCGCAGCACTGCAGCCACCTCAGGGGTGGCCACAGCCCGGAACGGGGAGGCCACTGCGCCCAGGCTCAAGCAAGTAGAGGGAGGGGCAGCTCTGCTCTGGAAACCCTCCTCCCACATGGGCTGCCTGGTACCAAGTGGTGAGGGGGAAGGTAAGCAGAAGGCCTACCTGCACAGGGAACAGTGGCAAGGCATCCATAAATGATGACCACGGAAAAGTGGAAATTGGTCATCGTCCAGTGAACGAGTGACCCTCAGAAGAGCAAGGGAGCTGACACCAAGCTGCTGTTGAGAATGTCTGGCTTCACCATGTGTCAGCTCCCCACAAGGAACGCAATCATTACAGACTGCAACCGTGGACTAGCAAAAACTTAACACTGGCAAATACTTTTGAAAAGAAGTCAGTAGAAGAGCCTGGCAGTTTCTGAAGAAAGTGAATGTCACACACTCTCTGTGCTGACAGAAGCTGTCAGGGGCCAGTCACCAACCTATAAATGTTGACTAACGAGTTCTTGCACGCGAAGTTACCAACAGAGCCTGCACAATTTCATAGAAGAGCCAGGGCCTCACAGGTGTCACAAAAAGCCACACCCCAGCTTTTGGGACAGAGTTCCTCAACTGCAAATGAAGGATGCCATCCTCCAATAATTTGCTCCACAGTTGCTCAGAATGCAATGAAATGCGTATCTGAGCACCTTAAGGAGAACAGCAATCATAGTCCAAGAAAGCTCTCAACTCTTTTCATCCTTTGAGAAGAGCTAAATATAAACACCACATGTTGCTTATCCCTAGAGCTATTAAACAAGAGCAATGATAGATCTTGTATCCTTTCCCTTCAAATCAAATACCACTTACATAAGCAAGCTACTTCACTGCAAAGGAGTTCCAACATCCAGCAAAGGAAGCTGGACACAGGGGTGCACATCTGTAATCTCAGCACTCTGGGAGGCTGAGGCAGGAGGATCCCAAGGTCTAGCCCAGCCTAGGCAACTCACAAATTTATCAAGACCCTGTCTCACAATGAATAATAAAAAGGGCTATATGCTCAGTGTAAAGGTCCTGAGTTCAGTCCCCAGTGCTGCCAAACAAACAAGTAAAACTTGAGAGGCACAATGAGAACTGTACCTGTCTAAAAACTGTACTATGAGTCCTTTGAGGAGTTGCAAGTTCTTTATCCTAGAGCCAGCCCAACCACCGTGAATGCCCACTACCTCTCAGCACTGCTCCATCCCTTATTGGTAAGATTGGTAGCACAAACTAAAACCATGATGCCACATTAAGGTTTTTTGAGGGAAAAAAAACCTTGAACTCATGAAAACATAGCAAATTAAGGTGCTTTTGTAGGATAAAAGTTGAAATAAAAATTAAGCATTTTCATTTTAAAGTGAAAAATTAACTTAATGGCAAGCATAACAAGACCTAAGTCCTGACTTTTCCTTCGCTGCTCAACACCTTCCAAGTACTGTGGCATACTGACTCATCAGGAAGAGAAGGGCGCGGATCCCAGTGAGCCTGCGCTGTGGCCCTCAGTTGACCCTGCGGCGCTGCACAATATTTTAAATTTTAGGCTCTCATCCCAAATCTCCAGTACACAATGAACCCTGAACAAGCTAAGTACTCCTTACCTGAAAGCGTGAGACCAGAAGGGCTTTGAGTTCTGGATTTGGGAGTATTTGTGTGTGGAGCTAGCTATCTAGACCTATAAATGGATCTGCTTGTCCGTCTGTCCATCCATCCATGCATCTGTCTGTCTGTCTGTCCTTCTATCCATCCATCCATCCATCTATCCACCTCTGTGCACACATATAATAAGGTATCTCGAGAATGGAGTCTACACCTGAAGTTCGTGTGTGCTTCCCACGCACCTTATACACACAGCCTGGCGATCACTGTATGCAGTGTTTCCATGGCTTCTGTGCTCTGAGACCCATCACATAAGGTCAGGTGTGTAAGTGGCATCACGTTGGGGCTCAAAAGCTTCACATTATGGAACATTCTGGATTTTGGATTAGGGAAGTTCAACCTGTATTGTGATATCAAAGCAACTCAAAATACATAATGCTAGCTTTTTAAGAAGTTTCAATCTAAGAATGTGCTCCTCCTACACCCAATGTTCATTTCGGAAATGGTCAGTGGTGTATTAAAGCTTAGTCTCCTTAACATTCCCCTCTACAGCCTGTGTCCTTGTGCACACATTCAAAGGAATAAAACATTTAACAGGAATAGCCTGAGTATCTTTTCTTGCAAGTAGAGCCACAATCTGATCTTGACTTCTCTGACTGTACAAGAGAAGAACCATGCCTTGTGAAAGGAAGAGAGAAAAATAAAGAAATATAGCCAAAGGTTCATGAGCTTGAATCCAAAGAAAAGCAATTTCAAGATAATAGGAGAAATTATTTAAGCTTGCACATCAGCTTAAGTAATTCATATCCAGGTCAGCTTTCTATATAGTTTTAATGATTAACTAGTACCATGGTTATAAAATATGTTTTCATATATACATGCATGGGGGGGCTTAGAGAATCAGAATTAGAAAACTGCTTTTCAGATTCAAGGAGTTGCTCAGGATGAAAAAATAAATGACTGGAGAGCTGCCTAAAAGAAGAAAGGGAGGGCAAAGGGATGCTGAGAAAAGAACTGAAGAAGAGGGAGGAAGAGAAAAGAAAAAAGGAGGGGAAGCAAATCATCCTCAAGCTGATGAGAAAAGCAGTTTTCAGCAAAAAAAGAAACAATTTTTCCAAATGTGTTCCTGGAAATCGCTGCGGCGGAGCTCTGGCAGAGCGCCTGCTCAACCCGAGGGCGGAGGAGCCGAAAACCTCCAACAGATTCACTGGTAATTATTCGTAAGAATGGGTGGTATGACACGAGTTTAAGAATGGCTTTCAGCAATGTGAGCTCTCCCTTTCGAACACATTGATATTATTATATTTAAAATAGCATATAAAGGGAATTCGATTAATATAGATTTGCCTGCCTGGATGATATCAATTGCTTGAAGTGCAGAGTTTTTACATTCACCTCTTTCTCCCCAGTGCCTTGCAGTTGTACACGCGAAATCACGCATGCGCTGAAGGGTCAGTTGTACACGTTTAGGGTGGTAGGAAGGTGAGTGAAATGAGCCCTGGAATACAGTTCCTAGAAGCAGAGGAAGTCAATATACATAAGCGAATAAAAAAAAAATTATTTCTAGACCTTTCTAGGAGAAACCTGGGATTAAACTCAGGGCCTTGTGCATGTTAGGCAAATGTTCTACTACTGACCTGCATCCTTCACCCTAGATTTTCTCAACTTTTAAAAGAAACACAGAGAAGGAAACTAAAGTGTCAGAGCCACCTTCTTCACATACATAAAAATTCTGTTCTCTTTTAACCTTTCTCATGGGCTTTTTTTTTTTTTTGCAGTTCCGGGGATTGAACTCGGGACCTTGCTTATTCTACTGAGCTATTTCCCTGTGTGAGCAAGCAGAGAAAGGAGAAGCAGAACTCAACTGAGGCCAGGTAGGTGCTGGTGCTACGGAGGGACTCCTGGGCTCCCTGCTGGGAAGGCCCAGGAGTCACACACTCGCTCCTGGCACCCTGGCTCTTCTATGTAACCTGCAGCTGACGCTTTATGGATGCTCAGGGCTGTTCTGAGCAGCCACAGGCCTGCATACAGAAAGCTCCCGGCCCAGCAGCCAGCTAGCCAGAAGAGCCTGCTAGTGTGACAGGGCTGCTGTTAGCCCAAAGCTTATACTGTTCTGACATTTACAGTAGCGACTTTTGTCCCAATCCACCATGAGCTAAGATCAAAATTTAGAACTAATTTATTAGTAATGCAGAGAGGAGAAAATTGTATTTTGTGTTCTCCACCTAAGTGGTTTAATGATGCTCACATACTGTTGGCGTCAAGCACCCCAATCATGTCTCATTACCAATGAGGACTCGCCCATAGCCCGGAACAGAAGCTGACTAACACCCCGGCTTCCCAGAAGCGCTCCTCAGAGGGAGGCGATGAAAGCACAAGAACTCCAGGTTCCTGGGCCTGCGACCCTGGCTGGCTCAGCCACCCCAGCCCCAAGCGACCTTGGGGATGGGACCATCAGAAGCTTTGTATTAAAAAGATAAGGAAGGCACTGTACCTCTAATCGCTGGATCCGTCCTTTGAAAAACATAAAGAGGGAAGAATTAGGGTAAGCAGCTTCCTTTTTGAGAAGAATTTCCTTAGCTTCATCCAGGCCTGCTTTGTTATCGCTGCCATCCAAGGCGAAAAACGGGCGGACGACAGTGTGGTACCAGAGGAGGGCTAGCCTGCGGGGAGAAGGGCTGTGAGCAGCACACAGAGGTTCTTCCACTTCCGCACACATCACCAAGCGCCCTCCCCACACCCGCTCCTGAAAAACGTACCAGGCAGTCTTCAAAGAAGTCAAATCAGAGTCTTTCCCATATTAATTTTGTCAGCATTCGGAAAACTGCTTTACCACAACATACACATCTGCATACTCCCGTCAGGTGACAAGGGGCAACAGAGGCAGCCAGCTGCGCCACCCTGGGAAGCAGACTGCTGAGGATAAGCTGATGGAGTACTGACTTCGGCACTTAGGAATCAAGTCAGCGCACGACCACTGTGAACGCACTGCCCCTCATAATAAAAGCTTTCACTTTTTGCAAAAGAAAATGTGACTTTCTCTCTCTCTCTCTCTTTTTTTTTTTTTTTTGCATGACTTTCTCTTGTGTTTAGAAAAGTTAGAGTATCTTGGAACGTAAATTTAAATATAGAACCCACAGTCACAAGTTATATTAAGTTAAAATAAGTGAGAGGAAGATTACAAGTCCGTTCTCTTAAAAGTCTCTTACTTAAAACTCATTAAAGAAAAATGTTATGATAAACTTAGGTAAACAGAACAGTCACTGAGCTCAGCTTTAATGAACAGAAAAAATTGCTCAACCAGCACATCAAACATTCTCATGCAAACATATGCATCTAGTACGCTCAGAAATTCAGTTCACTGAGAGGAAATCATACTAGCATTAATTCCATTCATTTGTTTCTCACAGATAAGCTTGAAAAAGTATTAAAATATAAGCAGAAATTATTGTAAGCAACAAATCTGTTAACTCAAAGAATGGGCCACTCTAACAAGTTTGAAGGGGCACAAATATTTTTCAAATGATACATTAATGGTTTTAAAATAACAATCAACTGATTAAGAGCTAACATCGTAACTCCTCGATGTTGCCATCAGTGGAAATATGTCTCACCAAGGTTCTCTCCAATAGCAACAATTTTTTAGAAAGTTTTGACAAGTAGTGTCACACTAGACTAACAGCATCTAGTAGCTGATAAAACTGTTCAAATCATGAATGGCAGTTATTTGACAGGTTAAAATGATATCATTTTAACCTATGAAAAGCAGGTGCCGGTCGCTGCTCTGCACAGTGACACCAGTTCCCCTCCACTTACCTATTTAAATAATTGTCATTTAAATTTACACTGCACAGTGCAACATGACCCCATATAGGACAGCGTAAAATATCCAGACGACATGTTAACAGACCAACTGAGCAACTACAGATATCAAGGCCAATTATCCAATATGAGGATTCTCTGTACGAACAAAAAATTCAGACCCACGGAACAGACTTACCAAACTGATGTCAGATAAGTCTAAATCATGATCATGCAGCTCAGTGACCATGATCAAAGCCACAAAGACTGCTTATAAAATCACTGAAGGGTAAACGATAAGGTCACTTTGCCTGGTGACAATGCAGGACTCATGAGCCCAAAAGAGCGTGCCTTGTACCTAGCTAAAGCAGCTTACACCATGCCACCAGCCCCCCACGTGGTCCTGGGGGTAGCTTTACGACGTTTACTTACTTTCAACACTATATTATCTACCAAAGCATTGCAATATAGCTACTCACGTAGCTAAAGGGGCCTTCATGTCCTTACTTTCGCTTGCATACATCAGTGAAGAAAGCCCCTGTAGGCGGTCTCCAGGAAACCCCAGCAGGTTGATGATTTTGAGCAGGTTTGGGGGCACCATGGATATGCAAAGGTGAAAAAGGCCATATCCAAAGCTCACAGCACCTTTCAGTCTGTTTAGGGACTCCTCAGTCACCCCTTCAGCCACTATGTGGTTATCATTTGCGGCATCAGAAGACAAGGGCTCTTCGGTTAGCTTCTTCTGATACAGTTCCTGAAGGGCATTGATGTCCAGGTAGCACTTATTGTAAATCTTCCAGGCTTTCCTAAGGATCCACCCACCTTTTATGTATGCTAGAAAGAGAAGGGGAGAAGAGCATTCAGGGTGTGCGTTCACAGCGATTTTTGTACTTGACTAATAAAGGATATTGGAAAAAAAAACCCTGAAAATCAAACACGTTTTTTAAAACGTTAAAATGATGACCTATCACTGCACTTTGTTTCTTCACAGTCTTATTTGCTGTTGGCCTCCTTGAGCCAAACTCTGTCCTGTCTGACAAGAGTCATGCGGCTTTGCTTCTTGTGGCAGTTGTACGTTACTGAAGGAAACCCTCTGCGTAGCTCGGGCATGGCATACACAGGAGGGGCGGAAAGCGGGGGGAATGAACTGAAGCCTCAGTCTTTCAGGTCTTCTGTGAAACCCTCTACTACTTCTCTACACTACTGTGGTGCTTCCTGATAAATCTTTTGTTGTTTAAATAATGTATGTATTTTTATCCCCTAAGAGAAGTAACTTCAACTCTATACTCAAGCATCGAGCAAGCTGTCTTTGTCAAAAACAGTAAGACAAGCCAACAAAAAGAATTGATTCACATTTTCTGGGCAACAAGTGACCAGTTTATTACCCAAAAAGTCATTCATGTGACATGCAGAATGACGAAGATTCCCCAGCTCACCTACAACCAGCACCTCTGTGTGGCTGACCCTACCCAACTGGGATGGCTTCGTTTGGTCCTCTATTGCCCCAGCCCAGAGAGATTACCTGACACCCAGAGGGAAAACTTGTTATTTTAAAAGTAGCTTCCATTACTGCCTTTTAGGGCAATTTATTAGCAGAGAACTCATGAAAATTTAGTGGGCAGAGAAGCCCTCCGGAACAGGAAGGGAGACATGGGATCCGGCACCTGCCAGGCTCTAGGTGCTCCTCTCAAACAAGCATGCAAAGGCAAGTCTGGGAATACTTTCACCTTTGGGCAGGGTGGGGTGTCAGGAGCAGCCGATTCACCTGTTATTGTCTGAGTGCGGTAGGGAATTTTCTGTTAAAAATGTTTTCTCCTAAGCACAGAACAGAGCTCACCCACTAGACACTGTTACTGACATGATACCACTACTCGGACCCTGCTGCAAAAGTGGAAAACATCAACTGAACCAGGCTTCCAGATCTGCTAAATAGCAAAAAAAGAGAAGTGATTAGAAAATTCTAGCCCCTTCACTGAAAGTGACATGACATGTGCTGTCCTCCCAGAGGCTGGAGCCCTGGTTGGGTGGGCAGGAGATCTGTACTGGGGATGTTCTTACCCTCACCATCACTGTGGGGGCCTGAACTGCACAGTGTGCTTTACACCGAATGCTCATGTTCCTTCAGGGACCCCGGAACGTGGGTGTGAGCGTGGTGGTAGGTCTCTGAGATGTCTCAGATGGTAAGGTTTCTCCCTGCTTAGTACTGCTCCTGCACCGCTAGGAGAACGCAGCATGACTCAGGTGACTCCCCCAGCAAAGGACACTTGGAGGCCGCCCCTGGATGTCACCCCATGCCCCTTTTCTCTTTCTTGACTTTGCCCTGCCTCCTTTTTCTCTGCTACATCACAATAGGAACATGTCGAGCCCCAAGAGACCTGTGGGTGAACCATCAGATCAGGACTGGTCTTTGAGTCCCAGTACATGAGAGAGCATGTACTCCACTTAGGCATATAAATTTGCCAACAAGCAGTTACCATTTTTCCTAGAAGGTCACAATGAAAACATAATTATCTTTCGAGTTCTGGGTAGTGAATGTCCTAGAGCCTACATCCATTAGGAAGCATGCCGCAGGACCAGATGACAGAAGAAATTAGTCTACAGGACACTGATTTAAAGAGAGCTGGTTCTACAATTTTATAATTACCTAGGCCATACTACAGATTGAGACAATCCTTTCATTTAACTCAAGTTAAGAAAGGCATTTATTGCATAAATACTGTATTTCAAAGACTGACTTGGGTAAATCAAAGTGAAGCATGACATGGATCTCTACTGTGGAAATGGGAAGCGAGAACATATATGCAAGAGCGTACACAAGGAATTGGAGTCTAACCGAAAACAATCACTGAGCACAGATCAAAAAATGAAAGAAAAAGAAAATGTGCAAAACACATTAATGCACTACTGATGAAGTTCCGTTATATTCCTGACAGCGATGGTGTCTCATGGACACAAAATAACTGTACTACATAATCCTAGCCCTACAAATGCCCACAAGTAGGAGAGAGAGAAAAAACATGCAACATAAAGAAAAAAAATCTGATAATTTTTTAAAAAAATTATTTATTTATTTGGTACAAGGTGTCACTCTGCAGCTTGGACTCGTAGTGATCTTCCTGTTTCAGCCTCCCCAGTGCTGGGATTACAGGGGTGCGCCACTATGCCCAGTTTGGGTGGCCAGCTCAGCAATCCCGGGGTTCTGGGGCCAGCACAGCGCGATGTACCAGGGATGAAACCCAGATTCTCGCACTGGCCAGCCCAGTGATTAGACTGCTGAGCTATCTCCCCAGGTGAAAAAAATGTACTGATTGTAGAGAGAAAGAGTGAAAACAAATAACACTGAAATTAGGAGTAAATAGCTTTGGGGGTTTTTGTTTTGTTTTGTTTTGTTTTTTAGTACTAGTAATTTAACTCATGACTTTGCACTTGCCAGGCAGGCACTTGTGCTGTCTGGCTATATCCCTGGCCCCATAAATAACTTTTTCTTGACCATTAAATTACTAATACAAAATAAAGAACTGCAGGATTTCAGCAGAAAACTTTCCTTCCTTTCCTTCCCATCCATAGCTGGAAGGAAAATCTTACCTCCATCTTATCCTGCATTTTTCTTACTAAATGAAATGCATTATGCTGGCAGTGATGGGATTAAGGGCAGCTGAAGAATGCACCCTGGCTGCAACAGACAATCTCTAAAACTGGGATTTGGAGATTAAGGGACTGGGTTAGGGAAATGACTTGTAACAATCCCGATCTCAGTTGAAGAATGAACTGAAAAGGATGACAACAACTGAAAAAAATCAACATAAAAATTCAACACAAAAATCCACTAACTCATAAATGTATGGAACTCAGACAAAAAAAAAAAATCCAGTTAAAAAAATTCCATTCTTATCAAATAAAAAGGGGATGAATTTAACACATCATTAACTATGTAGGTGGTACATGCACCAGTCCCAACATTTAAAAACACACATTCAGATCTATCATGACAAGTTGGAAGACCTTCACTTTGAGCCAAGGAAATAGAACCTAAAAGCTTAGGCTAAGTACAGATCTCTAAGTTACATACACAAAATGAAGCTCCTATACACGGAGTGAGACATTTTGCTTTAACTACACTCCACATTCATCCCAGTGAAGCAAGGTTCCTGGGACTAGCCTGACTCCTGTCCTGAAACTGCTGTGACCCCTCTAGAGGAGGCAAGAGCTACTTGACCTGCAGAGAGAGCCCAGCCTGTTCCACTGCCCACAGCTCAGGGCAGGGCTAGGGACACGGAACTTCTCAACACAGAAAAAACATTATTCAATGGCTGCACTGTGACGCCTTCCATGGGCTCCACTGAAAGTTCAGACATCACTCACTCAGCCAGCGGCACATCTCTGTGCCTGTGGAGAAAAGCAGGGTATGGGAAACTACAGGTCACTTGTCCTGCCAGTGAGGCCCATGTCCACCTGCCAGGAGATGGAGTGGGGAGGTGGGAATGTCCACTCCAGATAGGGTTGGGAGTCCTACACGAGAAATGACATGAGTCGCTTAGAAATGAAAGTATCAAGCTATGCTCAAATGATCTTAGAGTGAATTCGGCTGTTTTTCAGGCTCCCTCTGGTAAGAGAACCAAGCATTGTAATCTCTCCATGCACTTAACCTAGAATGAGGCTGGGTAACCCCATGATGGAAGAAGGTAAGTCCACGTTGGCTTCTTGTGACTCAAAGAACAGATTTCAAAGGACAGAAGATAATTTATAGTTTTCTGACAAGTCACCTCTTCATTATCTTTGTTTTGAGTGAGACAGGGTCTCACTATGCAGTCCAGGCTGGCCTCAAACTTGTGATCCTCCTGTCTCAGGCTCATGAGTGCTGGGACTACAGGCATGCACCACCATTTCCAGCCCTCATTATCTTCCAGTAGGCTCGCTTCTCCACTCCCAAAGCCTTTCCTGGACAGCACCATCCTTGCTCACTGTAATTTACCGAATAAACACGCACCAAGTGAACCCAGTATCCAGAACAGAAATGGACTTTCTGTGCATAATCCCACTCAGAAACAGGATCATGTTCCTCAGCCTTCCCACTCAGAATCGTTTGTTTCCGGAGCCTTCTCTATGACTAACATACCTGCTGGCCAAAGTACTTCCTGAATGAAGACTTCATTTGCTCATCTTCCAATCATGAGTTCCCTGGGGGAGTGGCTGCCTCTTGGTCATCTCCAGCCTACCAGCACCTATCATTTCCATAGCACCTGACATCCATTAAGCCCTCAGTGCATGTGGGAAGAAGGGAACTAACAGGCAGACAGATGTAGTCTCTGCCCTCAAAGGGTTGATGCTCTCATACTCTAGACAGACATGTAGATAAAAACATGCATTGCTAGGTGCTATGTGCTCTACTCGGTCACATGCAGGGCACACACACAAGCAGGTGGAGGACATCAATGAGGAAAGAAGAATGTCTGGGTGGCTGTGCATGGTCAGGCGAAGGAGAGAACACAGTGAGTACAGTGCATGCAGAGAGGGTAACACGACCTCAAGCCCAGGGCAGCTGAGGTGCTAGGGGAACTGCAAGAGCTTTGCTTAGACAGATGAAGCAACAGCAGGACAAGAGCCTGGGAAGGGGACAGCTTCCTACATGCCACCCAATGATAGGACATGGCTTTATCTTGTGGGTGACCCAGGACAGATAAGTCTTTACAGCACAGGAGTCATATGCCTTAGGGAAATGGCACTAACAT